TCCGGCGGTGAAGGACCGCACGAGCGTGGTGGTGAGCGTGCCGTTGGCGGTGGCGCCCAGCTCGTATTGCAGGTATTGGGCCGACTTGGCGTTGACGAAGAGGTATTGCTTTTGGGTGGTCGGCGAGCGGTACGTGCACGAGCCGTAGACTTCGTAGTCCGGGGGGGTGGGCTGGCTGCCGCCGGGGATGGGGGTGAGCGTGCCGTTGGGGGTGATCTCGAAGAGGCTTGGGTGAAGGGTTAGTGCTGGGTTTCGTTGTGGGGACAGGGTGGAGTGGGAGAAAGGGGGGGGGGCGGCTTACCAGAGGGTGTCGTCGGCGCGGCAGGCGGCGTAGGCGAGGTCGATCTTGCGCGGGCCGGCTTGGAAGTTGTAGATGACGTCGACGTTGTTGGGCTCGCCGGCGGGGATGGTCTGGAGGAGCTTGCCGGAGAGGTCGAACACGCCGAGGCCGGCGCCCTGCTCGGACTTGGTCGTGGTGATGATGCGCGACTGGCTGCGGTCCGAGGGCGAGATCCAGATGGCCGGGTCATCTCCGTCGCCGCCGTTGGCATCCGTCTCGGCTACGGGTTGAACGACGACGAAGGAGCAGTGGAGGCCGCCCCAGCCGGTCTTGCACTTGCACTGGTTTGGCCCCACGCACTGGCCGTTGCCAGAGCAGTTGTCTTCGCAGGTGTATGTGTTGCAGGTCTTGCCTTGCCAGCCTGCAAAACAGGAGCACTCTATGCCTTTGCCGTTCTGGGCGCAGAAGCCATTGTTCGAGCACGAGCTGCAAATAGGCGATGACTTCTTGCACTCGAGGCTGGGGTCATACTTGGTGTTGCCTTCCAGACCCAACTCCTGAATGGCGCCGTCAAGCGAGCTGACACCAAAGCCGGTAACGTCGTCGGATTCAATGGCGTACGCAAGCACACCGCTGGGGTATTTGGACGTGGAACCCTGGTAGACGGCAAGACCCTGGATTTCGATGTCTTCCTGTCCGACGAGTTTGAGGTTGCCAATAAAGTCGAATGGGGGCCCGTACACAGCCACGGTATCTTCCATGGCCACGAGGAGGTAGTCGACACCGGTAGTGGCGGATACGTAGACAGCCACTCCTGTCACGTCGTCCTCGGCTTCACCAATCTTGCTGATGGCAGGGGCCGCGGTGGACTCGACCAGGTCAAAAACGTACACGTCCTTGTCGTCATCAGCCGAGACAAACATCTTGCCGAGGGAAGGTGAGGTAGCACAGCCCGACGCCTCAACCGACAGAGGGAATGTTTGGATCTGTTTTCGTGTTAGTCCCTGTTTTGTTTCGTCCTCCGGTGGTGATGGCCATCGCATACCTCCACAAACTTGGCGTCTTCATAGTCATCCTCGTCTTTATCCTTCCGAACCAGGAATACCTTGGCTTCCTTCTTGCCAAACAGGTAGACGTAGTCATGACCGCTCGGGCTCTTCCACGAGCACAGAGCCGACCAATCGCCAAGCACAGTGCTGCGAGCCGACTTGACCTCGTCGAAATCGGGCAACTCCCAGGCCCGGAGCACCGAGTCCGGCTGGCTAATGCTGACGGCGAGACCAGTCGGCTTCTTGTTGTCATCGCGGCCATGGATGGTGGTTACGAGTTTGGTGCGGCGACCCGGAGTCTCGGCATGAACTTGGTTCAGGGGCGAGGCCGAGTTGAGGTCCCAGGCGAGCCAGCCTCCGGTAGCGGCAGTTCCGTCATTGCCCAACAGGAGTGGGGTCTTGCCATAGTAAACAGATGCCCAGTCAGACTCGATGTCCGAGGTAGCGGCTGACACCGGGATCTCGACATCAACGGCGGCTGCTTGGATCGAAAGGGTCGAGGCGAGCAGTGCGGCTGCGGTAATCCGGCGGGAGATAGCCATATTGGCAGAATAGAACTTCTGATGGCCTGAATGTGCCCGCCCTGGCATGAGATAAAAACTGTTGAATATTCACTCATAGCCATGGGCGGCGCAGTCTTCCATTTATCTTCCATTTTTCGCCGTTCCTCGGCCATCGAATTCAAGGCTGGAGGCGAAAAAATAGCACATGCAAATATCGTACCCTGCCCCATGTCCCAATACAACACCACGTACATGTTTCCCAGGAGGTTCACCGACGTACCCACGCCTTTGGTGAAGCCGGCAGATACCCCAAGAGGCGCGTGCTTGCAAAATGGTCGTCGATTGGCCCGTTGATGGCGTGGAGGGAACATGGTGCGGGAGGGGCCGCTGGAAGCGGAGCGCACCCCACGTCTTTCAGGGGAGTTCGGCACGTGGGGCAAGTTCAGATTCAGGCACCCTCCTGAGGAAGAACGGGCTGCAGGTTGCATCCATTTCCAGCTACCGACAACACCCTCAAGCGAGCGGTTCTTTGCTCATCAATGATAGGTAACCCACGTGGTCTCGAAGTTGTGTATACCACATATTGCCAACCCTCAATTTCACCCAAACGGGACATGTACACGAACGATATTAGTCGACCCGCCGTAAGGGCCGTAACAGGTAGAATGAATGATCGTGCTCTCGGGATAAACTTCGTCCCGCCGTTGTTCATCTCAACGGCCAACTGTGGATAGCCAGGACCACTGATCTGTCGCAGTTACCTTACTTACCTAGGTAGGTACCTGCCCGTATGATGTATCCGGAGATGGCTATCAAGTTAGGTACCTATTCAGCTTGCCTACTGGTCTTATGTTGCCTTGTTTCTCTACCTATGGTTCATGCTTGGACTTCATTCGACGTTAAGCAGCTGGTTTTGGTGTGTACTGATTTTGTTTATTGTCGGTTCTGGAAACCTCAAACGATACCTTAAGCCCGGTACATTATTTGACCGGGGAGTCAATGCTTTCATTATAGGATCAGACAACTTTCATCCCAAACTTGAGGCCGGCGTAAACAATCAGGTAGCGGAGCGGCCGAACCATCGACCGTTCCCAAAAGTGCCCATGACCCAATAAAGAAAACACACAAATAATCGCAGATCAGCAGAAATGCAAAATACCTTGTCTTGCACACCACTTGCGTAAAATCGGTCATCCATTTCTCGGGAGAAAGGATATTTTCCTCGTCCCGGGCCATTTCGATCCAGGGTTTGCCCTCGACTACCTACATGTACCTACCTAGATTTGATTCCTCGACCAAATGTCACGAATATGCCAACAGGAGGGACCTCGGGTCGCGGGACGCCCCGAGGCAATCATTAGAAGGACCAATCAGGGAGCCAGGAAGGTGATCGAGGTGATCAGTGAGCTCAGTCGCCAAGCCGAGACTGAGCACACTGAGCACCAGGTAAAGATCACCAATCAGGATAACAACAGCTCGACAGTGATCAGTGAGCTCAGTTACCAAGGGCAGACTGAGCACACTGAGCACCCTGGAATAAGCGAGGTATATGTCACTCGTTCTGGAGAACTCCCAGAGCTCTCCAGAACGAGTGACTATATACTATCTGAGCCCATAGGTACCTCTCGTGCCTGTGCTCCCTGCATCGTAGTGATCGCTGACGGTCGCTTCGGTCGTTGACGGCCACCTTGATCGTTACCGATCAAGTCCTTTTTCCAGCGATCATCTAGACAGCCTTGCTGTCTCGATTCTTCTCCCTGATTGGCTGTCTTAACAATTGGTTCAGGTCGCGCCCTGCGCTTCCCCGCTCTCCTTATTCGTGACACCACCAGGACCGCGCGCTGGCGCGGGCGCTTGCCCAGGCCACCCTGGCCAGGAAGAGAGTCGTGGTCATGCTCTGCCGGGCCCAGTAGATGTAACTTGCGTGTTTACTTTCACATCATTCATACCTCATGGGGGCAGCCTGCGAAGCCTTGGGCAAGTGGCCTTGTGTGGAGGTATCAGTCGGAAAGTTTTGACTGATCCAGGACGATTGGCTGGCACCTTCTCGTGGTGTCCTGGATCAGTAGCCGCAATCGCGGCGAAGCCAAGACCGGCCAGAGAAACAGATGTCCGTCTTTTCAATATTAAACCAACATGCAAGACTACCCCATGCATGATGCACATCACAAGAACAACTTATACTGCGTTCTTTCAAGAATCATGTAATTTCATTCTCGAAAGTGAGATGCCCCAGATTGGGATGTTTCACTCCTTGTGGCCGTCCTCTCGTCTTGATGGCGTTCACGTAAACACCGTAATGCCTTGCTAGCTGGCTCGCGTCCTGTCCAGTCTTGAAAACCAGGGCTCCCAAGCCCGACATGAACCCAACCCAACCATACTATCTTTCTCCATCAGCAGTCTTTTGCGCGGCTCATCATCCGCCCTCTATTTAAAACAGCAAAACGCTACGACGCTTATCCTTAATAGACGCGGCTTTGGTGCAGTTCCCATACTTTTCCTGGCAACCCGTCTCCGCCGAACAATGGTCGGCAGTGGTACCGCAGTAACCCCTATCAACGCCCCTCCATCGTCAGCAACAACAGTCGACGCCAGCAACACACCAAAATCAACAACAAAAGAAAAAGCCACAAAAACTCACGCGGCACTACAACAACTCGTCACGGTCGCGTTCCCGGGACAGCGATAGCCTTCCTTGCCCGCGCCCTCGGTGCCGCACGTCCCATCGATGGACACGCTCGTGCCGGGCACGGGCGCGTGGCAGGCGGCGGACGAGTTGGAGAAGCGGGTCTGGCACTTGGCCGTGGTCAGGCAGAAGGCATCGGTGGCGCCGCAGAAGCCGTACTGCGAGCAGCAGGGCAGCGCGCCCGGGCACGTGTAGCCCGAGTGGTCCGCGCCGCAGGTGTTGTCGGGGGAGACGGCGCGCGGGGTGACGGCTTGGCTTTGGGGTGGGTGGACGGCGGCGGTGAGCGCGCCGAGGGGGAGGAGGAGGAGGGCGGTGAGGTGGAGGAGCATTTTGATTGTTCTTTTTGTTTTTCTTTGGGTGGGTTGTTGGTTGCTGGTTGGGTGGGGGGAATGTTGTGATTTGGGGGGTTGTCGTTGCGAGATCAATGGGAGTCTATTATCGCCATGGTTGTTTGGGTTCACCACGTTTTTGTATTTTGACTGGATTTCACGGCGGGCCGCCTCCGAACTAACTGCCGGCAAAGAGCTACTTCAATATGGCCGGTGACGCGTCGTACCGGAGTTTGCAGGGTCGAATATTGTTGAAGGCTCTTCCGCGCCAGACGGATGAACGAGATCTAAATTTACCCGTCTTCGTGGATTGGGATCTGCTTTTGTCGCGCCGTGTTTGTGAAAAGCCATCCATTATTGATGCAGGTAATATAAATCCGAGTCCCCCGCTGTCTATAGATCTAGGATCTGGGTCGTACAGGTCATCTGGGTGCATATTACCCGCATTGGTCCGGGCGTTGAATCGAATGCAACATTTCACAGGGCATGGATGTTGTGGCCGTGGAAAGTAGTGCTTGGGGCATAGTTATTGTCATTTGCTTTTGGCATGTTCGATCTGAGTGAGAAAAGCCGTGGGCGGAAAGGGGCAAGCTGATTAAATTGCATTTTGAGCAAATACTGATGTGGCAAAAGGTTTTGCTTGCTTCCGTTTCTGTGTTGTCGGAAATAGTAAAACAAAATTAAAACGTGAACGTTGACCTGATAACTAATCTTTTTTTTTTTTTTTTTTTTCTTTCTAAATTCACCGGCACCAACACCAACGTTCGCTCCAGTCCATGGCCTGGAATTGGTTTCCAACCCAGTATTGTCTTCAGCATTGGCCTTCCCTGTTCCGATAAAAACCACCTTAGCGCAGGCAAGTATTTTGATCTCTGGCTCCCTACACCCCAACAAGTTCCCAGAGAATGTCAAAGTGTCAATACCTAGTGTCTCCGCTAGGTCAGACGGCGCCGACTTAACGCCGTTTGTTTCTCACCAAAGACACGATTGAGTGGATGCCAAAGTTGTGGAGTTCGTATCATGGAGGCTGCCCACGTACGGGATGCTGGGCTCCAGATGCTTCTGACGCTGGTGAGGGAATGTTCAAAAGGCCTCTGAGATTGTGTTTCTGCAAACAGGCACCAATTACCGTTTGTGGGCATTTTCCTCGAGGGTCTGGTGTCGATATGATGCACAAACTAAAAACTAGCGGAGCAAAATCGCCCTGGAATGGCCTCACGTCTGACAAGAGCTGGCCCGCCTTGGAGGGGATACTTACCTAAGGAGGTATGCTCCTCACAGGCAGCCGCCGGTCGGGACACCATTCCGAGACTTGGCGGCAACCTGCTTGTGGACACGAATAACAGAAAAGTACTGGCGAGAGCTGCCTGGGGCGAACCAGTCTGTCAGCGCCCCACTCAATACCGCCCGAGAATACCTCCCTGAGTATCTTAATTTTATTTCCATCGGAGTATTTCCCCACAGCGGCTGTCGCAATAGGCGCCCCAGCCGGGTACCGAATGCGTGTGAATAAGCGTCTTACTGTGTACGGGTCCGCAGGTTACCGAGAGGCCTAAGTTATACCGAACTGTAAACGGCCGAGAGACGAGAGACCTAGCTGATGAAGTTCCTGTATTCCAGAGACGTGAATTCAGTGTCTTTCCATTTAAAGCTAAGCTCACGAGGCTATTGTTTCTAACTAACTACCTAGGTAGCGGAACCACGCAATTGCAGCAAAGTTACAGAATCCGATTCAACGGGGACGGTAACTTAGCGCTTCGTCCCGGCCTTCTCGCACTCGCTCGAATCCTTCCCGTTTCAACCGAGCACCGTCGCCCCCACTGCCGCCGTCACCTCCAAGGTGCCTGTTAGGCTACCTGTTCCGGCCATCACCCCGCTCTCGGACGGCATACACAACTTTTGGTGACCGACTCGCGGTGGAGTTGATGTATGTTGGGCGGGTGTATGACTTGAGGGGTGTTGCAGAGGGCGGAGCGGGGACCGGGAGTTGCGCGACGTTTCGCTTGGGCTTGTCCTCGAGGTGGGCACGTAGGTTTTGCTCGAAGACTTGGATCATGTTATCGTTATACTAGAAAGGCATTAGTTCACCGCCATTGTGAGTTACCAGAAAACAAGGAATCAAACCTTGTTATGCATGGCCGCGATGTGTGGTGTGATGATGACGTTGGGGAGGTCCCACAACGGTGACCTGGCATTCAGGGGCTCCTCGATGACAACATCAAGGGCGGCGCCTGCCAAATGTCCATTTGTGAGATATTCCGCCAGCGCATGCTCATCCAACAACGGACCACGCGCGATGTTGACAACAATGGCGTTCCGGGGCAGTGACTCCAGCTCCTCCCGACTGATGAGACCGACCGTTTCGGGGGTCAGTGGGGCAGCGAGGATGAGGACGTCTTGGTTGCAGAGAAATGTGCGCAATGTGTCCTTTCCGTCAGCCTTGAGAAGGTTGACTTCGCTCAGCCGCGAGCCTGGTGTCGCCGATGACTGGGGCAGGCCCTTCGGGTTCATAGCCGACACTTTGCTGCCGAGTGCGAGGAAACGCTCCGCTACCTGTTGACCGATAGATCCGAAACCCAGAATACCCACTGATAATTGACTGAGCGTTCGATATCCCATAAGCGGTTGGGGTGCCCATTCGTGCTTAGCTTGGTTGTGCAGCGCCGTGGGCATGTTGCGGCTGAGAAGCATCGTGTTCATCAACGCGAACTCAGCCAAGGCAGTGGAACCGGAACCCGTACTCGACGTCACCTGGAGGCCGGGGCGGTGGTTGTAGGGGCTAGTAATGAGGAGGTCTAGGCCTGAAGAAGCAAGGTGAATCCATTCAAGCCGAGGAAGAGCATATTCGGGTGGTGGCAGCTCGATCGTGGAGAGGAAGATGGTTGTCTTGTCAAGCACGTATTTGGGGATTGATAGCCATTCATCGGTGTAATAACAGTAAATCTCGAGTCCGGGGAAGTCTCTTTTCAGGTGGTCTAGCTCGTCAGTAACGCCAATGCGAAACCCGGAGCGCCGCCGGGTTGTTAAAATCACGGGGTATGTTGGCTCCCACTGCTTGGAAGGCGATACCTTGGGAGGCAGAGTCTTGGTGGACTTCCACTCCTCGATGTGATCCTGCCAGTGGTTGGCAAGCCCAGTGACATCAGCCTCCCATTGAGGTTGGGGGCCGGGACAGACAGGGCAGCGAATCGGTTTTGTCTGCCAATCTCGTCTGTAAGCCTCCATGTCCACCGACATTTTCCCAGTCCGTTCCATTTCTTCAATGACATGATCCAAGGAAATAAACATGTTTGAGAAGGGGACTTTCCAATGTCTGGCGTTGAACATTTTGTCGGTGCTGAGTGACCAGTCTTGTACATGGCAGTGGAGCGGAAATAGACTGGGTATGGTGTGAAAACCGGTCATGAACATCGGGATCCTACTGGGATTCTCCATGGACATTCGGTCGATTTCGATCTGCGACTGATGCCGGAATCGATAGAGTAAGGGCAAGTGCTCGGTCGTTAGGTTGGCGATTTCCTTGATCGAGGTGTCCCGGGGCATGAGGATGATATGGTCAGGAGACTGGAAGGTGATATTCGTTAGCCGCTTATTACGCTCTCCTTTTGCTCTGTGTGTTTGTGACGAAGATCTACCTTGGCGTTGGCGTCATCTACGACAACCATCTCGTGGTCAAAGTACCGCACATTGGAATACCTTTCCGGGTTGTCGCAAATATCATACAGAGGGGAGTCCTCTTGGTTACCGGCGTATTCCCTCGAGTCCCGAGGGTCAACCCGGACAGCCGTTTCCGTCAAAGTTGGTACGTGGGATTGGGTCATATTGGATTCAATGGGTTTCGTTCTACGAGAGTTATGATTGGGACCCAAGGCGCCAGTTTAAGTACCAAGTACAGACAGGCTCAGTCAGATACCACAGGTCAATGTTTTTTCGGCCCGAAGCTTGATTTGGGGGAATCACTGACCGGAGGCCGAGGATAGGGAGGCCCGACGGTCGCTGGCCAGGAAGGGAAGACGTAGGCCCTTTATCAGAATCTTAGACATAGTTTCAGAGCTTGAAACAAAACCCGGTGGGAGCAGCTAACGCCGAAGTTGAGGGTGGCCGGCGTCGGGAGCGACTTGTCCGGATTGTCCCTCGTGGGGGGACGGGGCCGCGGGTTCGGCTTCGTGACACTGGGGGTCCCATGTTCACTGGGTAATCGTGCAGGCCGCCATGTTAGGAAACCCGAGTACGACCACCCTGGGTGCTTGGTGGGGTTTGTGGATGCTACCAAACATTCATTCACAACTTCATCCAGGTCCAGTTCTGTCCCTCTCGCCTAATGTTGCGTTTGACGTTTGACCCAGTTCTGTGCCTCCGGCATTCGGGTGCAAAATATTGCCTGATAGGGCAGCCTTTTAGCTGACATAAGATCTCTATGTGTCTTCCCACCACCCAGGAGGCATATTTGTGCTTTGTAATTACGCGTTGCGGCGAAGCAAGCGAACACAGGGACGGAACTGAGCGCTGGTGAACGCCACTTCCTTCTTGTCGCAACTTGATCTGGAACACCGACTCTTTGCCGCGCCGCGTGCGACCAATCCTGGACTTTTCTTCTTTCCAACAGTCCCATGTTTCCACCCGGCCGAAACGAAGGATCCCACTGGTGTGTTTTAAGGTTTTTGGCCAATACCTTAGTTAGGTAAGGGGCCTGGAGAGGAGGATTCTCCGTGGGCGCGGCCGCTACCGAGGCGGGACCCAACCAGACCCGGTCCGTTGTTCAACAGCGTGGTGTATATGGATGTAGAAATATGATGCTGACCAAGAGACCCGGCCGCGTGGGTAAGATGGCGACCCGTGGGTTGGCAAATGAGACGGAATGTCGGCTTCTTAACCATGGCTGACAAAAAGATGCCCGTTGGCGCCGCGACCTAATCGTAAACGTGCCGAGTCCTTTGGGGGTTTCAGTTTCGCCTATGAATAGTCTCTTGCTTTAACTCCATATGTTATGTTGCACTGTTAGGCGCGCTCCTCTGCCTCGCGGCGTATCTCAACAACGTAAGTAATTATCTTCAATCATTATGTCCCATGCTCCCAAAATTGCAAATCTAGCCAGCTTTACTTGTCTTCTGGGGCGGCAATCTCACCATCTTTCGTCGTCCGTAATCTCCTTGGGGGCCATTCGCAAAGGAGGGTCAGGGAAAGTAGCGAGACAACACAAAAATAAAGCATCACCCTCATTTGTTGGCTGTATCCCGCGGCATATATCTGCCGTACTTGTATCTGGAGTCTCAACGGCAAGCTCCGGATATTTTGAGAGGACTGCAGGAGAGCGGCCTGTTCCCTTGGGGACAACAAGTCCGCAGTTTCACTCGCGACATGGTTGCTTAACAAAGCAGAGCAAATCGCCAGGCCGATTGTGCCACCTAGGACTCGTATTTGTGTGGCAGCACCCATCATAACGGCTAAGGATGGTTAATCACGATACTGGTGTGACAGAAGCTTTGGTTTGAGGGGGAAGGGAAGTCTCACGCATATCCGTTTGTTTCACCACCAGAGGCACCATCATTAAAACGGTGCTGAGATTCAAACCGAATCCGCATCCCATCAGAACCTGATAGCCGTATTGATACGACGGCACCTCAAAATGGGAAGAATCTAGCGAGCTGAAGAGGCCGACGCCGATGGTCTGGAGGCTGCAGCCCGCAACAAGGACGTAGAGCGGAGGGAGCCGCAACTTCGACAGCAACAGACTCGCCACGATTGTGGCGATCGGGGAGCAAAGGAGAAGCGGCAGCATGCGGATACCCGCATCAATGGCGCCCAGCCCGTTGACGACTTGGAAGCGTTGAGGAATTGTAATGATGGCCGCCATAAAGGGGAATCCTGTCAAAAACGCGTTTCTGCCCAAGCAAATTAGCTCGCAACATACGTTGTAGAGAGGGCCGCCCGGAGTACTCACAGAAGTAAGCCCAGTGCGAATCTGTTGCAAGCTAGTCTCCAGGGAAACATGGGCTCGCAACTGCCCGTCCTCCGTGAAAGGTTTCGTTCCCACCCGATGAAGAGGATCCAAAACAGGCCGGAGAGCACAAAACACACAATAACGGGGGCGCTGCTCCACGGGTACTCGATGCCTGCCTGCTCCAGGGCAAAAACAAGCAAAATTGACGCCGCCAAAGAGGAAAATGCTCCGACATAGTCTATCCGTCTCCAGGCCTTTTCCGAAACAAGGGTGGCAAAAAAGCGAGCAGGGCCGGGATATGGGAAACTAAACGGGATGGCAATGCTGATAAAGATGAAGGCTACGGCGCCACCAGGGCCACTATGGCAGCAGACGTGTTAGCACAAGTCTATGATGACACAATTACCATGATACCTTGAGAACGCACTTGAGCCAGAAAACCCATCTCCAAGCGTCGTGGTCGGAGATAACGCCGCCGAGCAGGGGACCCAGTACGCTAGAGATGGCAAACACGGATGACATGATGGCGATGTATGTTGGATACTTTGCCGGCGGGACCATGAGTGGTGTCATGACGGTGGCAAGGGAGTAGATCCCAGATCCGCCCATGCCTTGGATGGCGCGGAAGACAATCCTGTGACCATGAGCATGGCGATGACATCTTCTCGGGAGGCGGGCGGTGTCACATACAGCTGCAACATGGTACTGGAGGCACCGCACGCTAGTGAGAACACGGTGAACAGTGTGATCGCACACAGTACCAACAGCTTGGTGCCAAAGATGTCGCTGAGCTTGGCATAGATCACGAGGAAACCTGGCAAAGGCAGCACCTCGGTGTTAGTCTGTGCAACCCGCCCAAGGCCCGGCGCTTCTAACCTGTGTAAGTCAGGAAGTATGCCGTCACCACCCAGCCGGCCTGCCCAAACCCCTGAAGGTCGTTGGCCATCGAGACCAACGACGTGCTGACGATGGTGGTTTCCAGCGTTGAAAGGAGCATGCTGAGACACAAGCTTCATTTGGAAACATCCCCATCCTTGGTCAGCGGTTCTGCCGGAGTAAGCCGGTGGGAGATGTGTCAGAACTCAGAAGCTTACCCGGCCGTCAGGGCATGAAGCCTCCACCCCATTGGGTAGATTTTCGGCTTAGTCTGGTCCCCATCGCGGTCGTCCGATTTGGTTATCTCCGTCTCCGTGCCGGCGGCCGCTGTTTCGGTTTTTGGCGTGGTCGCCATTTCAATCGCCATGGTTAAATTTAATGACGAACTGTTGTTGGGCGTGGCTTGTCGTTCAAATCCAAAACTGGTCGGTTGGCGAAAGATGACAGCTTGTCATGACCACCGACCACGGTGCGTTGATAAGGGGTTTCAAAATACGACACCGTGTGGCTGAGCCAGGGATGCAATCTCCGATGACCGCGTACACCTTTCGAGCGTGCCGAGCCAAGTGTGCCAAGCCAAGTGTGACGAGCCAAGCTTTAGTTACCTCATGATCTTTTGACAGCAAAAAATATCAACATAAGAAGACCACAACATCGCTTGTCGGAAGGCTAAGGCCCAAGTCGCAGAGGCTTTGAGGTTAGCTGAGAAGTACTGGACGTGACATGAAGTCAGAGACAGGAAGATGACATGAAATGATAACGCCTCGACCCTTTTTTTCGTTTCGATTCCCAAGTCCCAAGTCTCCCAACATGAGGGAGGGGACTCAGGGGAGGAATCCACAATTCCATATCCAACCATGATCTCTCCATCCCGCCCCCCTCAACTCCCTCCACCAGCGTTCCGAACAGTTCAATCAATCCAATCCTGGGTCCCCGATTGGATTGGATTGAAGATTTTGAGGTGCGATTGAACTGAACTGTTCCTCAGATTGAACTGAACTGTTTAGTTCAATCTGCCAAGGCCTCCCCCCCGGAAGCAGCTGATCCGTTCCGCTCAGCCCCCAAAAGGTCTCCCCAACAGTCACACCACTCCCTGGCGTTCCTCCTGCTCTAGCTATCTAGAATCCGCAGCCAATTATTGATACACTGAAGCATACAAAGGGTTTCCTCGTGCGTGCGGTTTCTCTGATGACCCAGGGCCAACTTCGATGCACTAAAACACCTCTCGCATTCTGTTGAACAGGGTGGAATAGATAACAACTCAAATGCCATCTTGGAAAGCCGTGGGAAACGGTCACGATTACGCCACCACCATTGATAAGGGGTCTCTTCTAGTGGCAGAACCGGCTCATTGAGGTAGACACTAACCTCATCAACGGATACGCGATCCGGAGGGTCATAGAAGTCATACCCAAACGCCGGGCGATGTGAAGGTCGGTCCCGGGACCCGTTTGATGAATCCGGAGCCGGTCGAGGATAATTGTGGTCAAAGAAAACCCGGAACCGGGCTTGAATGTCGGACGACTTAAGCGGATCATCTGTAAAAAAACGCTCAATCCACCGCATCTTACAGTTCGGAAGTAGTATCATTGCCGCCCAATAAGCTGGGGTGGCGTCCATGATCGCCAGATACTTTTCCAGCTTCTCAATGGCAAGTTTGAGACTCTTTTGGATAAAGGCATACCCAGTATCATCAACTTCATCGTCAATTACCTCCCCAAGTTGAACAACACGCTGTTGAGGGCGTGGCGATGGCGCTGGGTGGGGCTCTGCGGTAGAGGGCCGATATCCAAATGCTGGGAGGTCAACTTCAAAGTCGTCCAAGTGAGCTGGAGGCCGGATAGTTCGCCCAGATCGCCGTTGACTTGGAGGCTCAACACGTTGACTGGGGGTTCAATATCTGGGTCTGGGTCTGACGAAAGCGACTGCATCCGACCGGGATTGAGAGAGTTTCCCAGGGCCGGCGACGGTGGCCGTATACCAACCCAGGGACCCCCATGGAAATCGTGATGTTGACTGGCTGTTCTGGCATACTGTTGATAGAGTTCGTTGAGGTTCCTGTGCAGGGTGTAGGCATGTGATACGACGTCCGCAAAGTTTGGTTTCCGGCCCTCAAACTTCTTTGTAATGATTTTGAACGGTTCCAAGATGCAACGGATCTCTTTGAGCACCACCCACTCTGAAGGCGTAAGCTGGTCATCGCTCGTGATATTATCTGGATCCTTCTTGGTCACGATGTTGACGAAATAATCCAGAGGATCACGTAACATGATTGCCCGGTCGATCATGTGGTAGACTGAATGCCATCGAGTCTCATTGTCCGAACGCAACTGCAGCTTTGCAATGTCCTTGTCGATTAGAATAGCGCCGAATTCTTGCTGTTCTTCCTCTGTCAACTTGCCCTTAGCGATATCCGAAAACAGATCCCGGCGTTGAGGACTGCGGCGAATGTGATGAACCAGGAAGTGGAGCTTTCCAATAGGGCCAGACTTGCGCCATTCCTGAAGAAGCCTTCCCTCTTCCGCTGCGTTGTGGTGTGCCAGGGATTCCGGTGCCAGGGACTTGATGAGCTTCTTGTTGGTTGCTTGAAGGAAGGCCTTAGCAACAAGGTTCAATATGTGCCCGAAACAACGGACCCGGACCTTGCATTTGAGGGCGATGGCTTGCGCAGGGGAAAGCGTTGGATTGAGGTGTAAAAGGACCTTTGTCATTGCCGTATCGTTGTTATCTGCATTGTCGGTTTGGAAATATCCAAGGCAGGGCTGTAGGTCAAACGTCTTGATGACGTCTAGAACACCAGGTGCAATGTTCTCGCCAGCATGAGTCCCCGTAATCCGTGACAGAGTCAGGAGGTGTGTTTGATAATTTCCAGAGCTCTCAAAGTAATGAACAACGACTGCGAGTAGCGCAAGGCCATGAGAGGAGGTCCACAGATCGAAAGAGAGATGTTTCTGATGTGGAGAAGCCTTGAGCTTAATCTTGATTGAATCAAGAAGATCGTGATACATACTTGTGAGCCAGCTTCTTGTTGTATCCCCCCCTTTTGGAAGAAGGGCGTCAGTTAATGGAGCGTTGAAGAGCTGTAGTATTTGACGGTAATACTTGTTTTCCACCGCGGCGAACGGAATGTTTGCCGTAGCCATCCAACAAACAAGGAGGTAACGAAAGCGCTCCCCTTGGGTTCTTGGAACCACGGCCGTCGACTTTTTGTTCTTGTTGCGGCTCAACATCTCGCTAATACTGTGGTTGGTTGCAGCTCGTTTTCTTGATGTTGTAGCTTGGGGGTCGTTCGAATTCGAGTGAGGTTTATCGTCAAAAATACGGTGTTGTTCTTCGAGATGACTTCGTGCGGCCGAAGTCGATTGAGCGTTGAACGTTGCACTACATCGCTTGCAGACGAAATGGAAGCTTTTCGCCTTCATCTTGACTGTATAAATAATCGGTTATTATAACGATAAGCGTTGAGGGCGCTGTTGTGAGAAATAAAACTAACCAGTTGGATCGACGACAAGGGCAACGCAAAAGCCGTATTTCCACACCCAAGAGCGCCTGTCTTGCCGCTTATCTAGCCAGTTTTCAGGTACGTACTTGAGGCCCTTCTTGCAGGTCACAACAGGCCATTGCTCGGGGACGATTGACGCTGGAGGGTCCTCCCCAAGCGCCTCGATCTGCTGAACTAGGGAAAGCGCATGGCCAAGCCTCGAAAAGGTGCTGTTTTCGGTGGTGACGACAGGCCCGGTGACGACGGCGGCATTCGTCGGGGATGTGGCAGTAGAGCTCGTGTCTGAGGTAGCCATTGGGCGGTAGGGTTGGACCTGGTCGAAGGGCGGTTGATGATGGCAAGTTCAATCCAACAGCGATTGACCCTGTTTGAACAACGAGACTGTTAGTTATCGATAACGTTCGGTACCTCACTATCAGAATAACGGCAAGTATTGTCGCTTATAACCCTAACCCTGTAAGTTCAATCGAGCTCAGTTCAATCCTGGAGCTGGATCTGGATTGCACTGAGGCCCAAAATGGCCGGATTGGATTGGATTGGATTGATTGGATTGAACTACTGAACTGAAAAAATTGAACTGTTCGGAGCGCTGCCCTCCACCGCGCCAAACAACCCCCCACAACCACTCGGCCACCTCCCTCTGATACGCAACCGTCTTCATCTCAGCATCCATCCTCGCCACCTCATCCCCCCACAGATATTTATTCCTCCACGCCACCGAATCAAACCCATGCACCACATCCGGCACCAACAACCACCTCGTACTCCCGCCCTCCCACTCCTCACACCACCCAAACCGCCGCCCATCCCCCGCCCGCCCATCATCCAAACACCCCCTCCAAACCGCCACCCCTTCCCTTCCCACCCTTTCCCCCACCCCCGGCACCACCACCACCACCTCCCCATTTCCCCGCCCCCTCGCCCACCGACACGCCGCCACCCAGCTCTCCATCGCCAGACAATCCAGCTCGGCAGCCACCACGAACACGTGCGGCGGCAGATCGCCGCGCGCCGCGAACGCCGGCGACACCAAGCCCGACGCCGCGTCGTGCCCGTACGGGATGTAGCTCCACGCGCCCGAGGGGAGCAGCACGCGCGCCATCCAGTCGAGCGCCGGGCCCCAGCCGCGCGGGCCGCGCAGGGTGGGTTTGTAGGGGCGGGTGTGGAGTTTTTGGTGGGGCGGGGTGGTGAAATCGAGGATGCCCGTGATGGAGATGACGGCGGTGGGTGGGGGGTTGGAGCGTCGCGGTGCGGGGGTGTGGGTGTGGTTGGGGTTGGGTGGGGAGGGGGGTGGGTTGGGGGTCGGTGCCGGAGTGGACGGAGGGGAGTTGCGAGAGGGCGAGGGCTAGGTTGGCGCCTGCGTCGAAGCCGGCGAGGGCGACGCGCATGCGGTCGATGGGGAGGGATTCGTCGTTGAGGATGGCGTGGTAGAGGGCTTCGACGTCGAAGAGGGGGGCGGGGAAGGCGGCCCAGGGTGCTTTGGCGTAGTTGAGGGCGATGACGAGGATGGTGTAGGAGTCGGCAAAGGTGCGGTTCCAGGGGTCGTCGTCGGCTGGTGTGCCGACGGTGAAGGCGCCGCCGTGGATGGTGAGGAGGGTGGGCAGGAGCGCGGGCGAGGTGAGATCGTGGTGGGAGGGGAAGAAGATGCTGTTTTTATGGTGAGTGTTCGGATCAGTGGTATTGACATTTGCGAGGCATTAGGATGTGACAGGCTTACCGGATAGGGAGGCGTTGTCGTATGGGGTAAGCTTTGACGATGTCAGGTCGACTTGGGGCAGGGTAGTACATGTCGCGTAAGCCGCGGTACACCTCCACTGGCACGTTCAACCCCTGGATCATACTAACAGACGCCGCACGGAAGGCTCTTTCCATCACCGACGGCGCATCCCATTCGTGACGCCGTATCTCATGTCGAGATAGGTAGTGCTCTGTTGTTGCCCCGTTCCTGGCCCTGCTCCTGCTCCGTGGCCGCCGAACCCTCTGACCCTCAAAGTAAGCTACTGAAGGGGAGGGTGGGATATCAACGGCCCAGTCCCTACTGCTGGAAGCCGTGGGGCGAGAGTAAGGGTAGGTGTCTACGGCCGCAGCCCTGTAATTCCTGGGCTCCCCGGGTAGCTGCCCTTGAGGCAGTTGTTGCAGTGGGTTTCCGGCGAAGTTTGCCTGGCTGAGGGTTTGGATATCTACATAGTTTCCTGGCCGATCCGGGGCCGGAAATTCTGGTTGGTATCGATTGATTCGCCAAACATTGTGATACAGCGGTTCTGTTTCTGCCCCCAAAACACTCTGGCAATGTGGCTTATTTGGCTCCCTTGAAGGTCCCGGTGACGCTGTCTCATGATGGTCCCGTTGCTCCTTTTGTTGTAGTAATTCATCGGACAAGAGATCTGAAGGTAAGTGGTAGTGTGCCTGCAACTGGGTGACGGTTTCGTTTTCCACAGAAGGGGGGGTTCTGGAACCCACGGGCTGAAACACGGCCGCGTATTCAATATTGTCGCCCAAGTTCTCCCCTTCTGCGGGATAAGAACCGCCTGGTCCCCCCCAACGAGCATCGCTTCCGCCACGTTCAGGGGTTTCTTGCGGGGTCAAAGGCATGTCCATGATCAACGCTGTATTTGACCCCGTTTTTGGTGGTGGCGTCGCCGGTCCCCTGGTGGAAATGACAATTTGATCATGCTCAAGGGGATCTCTTGCCGCGGACCTTTGATATTGTAGGTTTTTTGAATCGTCTACATTGCTGGCGGTGATGGACGAACAGGGCTTCGGTGCCATATCCGGGGTAGGCGGCCTCTCTGGTGTTTGGGAAACTGGTGTTTGTGGCCTCCCATCAAGCAGAGTTTTGTTAACTTCTCGTTCCCCCGGGGGCTCATCCTTGGCGATATTGCTCTCCATTCTTGGTTGTTCTGTGACTTGTACTCCATCACCCAACGTGGCCTCCTGCTTTTTGAAAGCCCCGAAAGCCAAGGCCAGGTCGGGAATCTGAGGCACGACACTGATTCGATGTTTCGATCCCATGTCTCGGCTCCTACTCTTGCTTCTACTCTTGCTTTGGCTGCGGCTCCTTGCCTCCCACTCCTCGATACGTTCTCGGGTGCTTGTACTGCTCTCTCTTCGGGCAGATGGTGCCACAGCCACCGCATCGTCACGCCAGCTCGTCCTTTTAGCATTGTCGCCCCCACTTTGTCTCATCCTCCCTCGTTCTCGCTCACTTTGTGGTTCGACATGTTGTAATTGCTGAAGGGCACCGGCCAGGTCAACGGGCGGATAGTCGTGCGGCGTGGGATTCTGATTAAAGCTGGGGTGGGTGGTGCCGTCAATGCTATTTTTTCGAGATCCCAAATGAGGGACATAGAGGGTAGAGAAACGCCGCGGCGTGGGCTCATAGTTAGGCATCGCGACAGATTGTGTTGGTGACTGGCAGTTTGTGTTGCGAGAAATGATGAAGACATTTGGAGCGGTGGAATTTCAAGCCGCAGTTGCATGGCGGCGTGATGATCGACAAGAAGGTCTTTGCATTACAAGCTTCAAGTTGCACCCGGTTCGCGGCTGAACGCTGCTTCAACACGACCCAGCACCGGGATGTTCGCATAACCTCCCGTGTTTCATAGTGACGTGGCGAGCACCGGGCTAATCGAATACGTCAAACATCGTGCCCCGTGCTTAGCATTCATTCCCAACGGCTTTGTGGGACACATCGAGTCACAAAGGGGTCAACGTTTGTCATTCATTGGAAGCCGTTTCAAGAGCTTATAACACCTCTTTATCGTTGCTGGAAATTTACATATTATTATTATTCATACTCCGCTATGCCCGCAGGCGCGCCGGTCCCTCAACTGCTAATTCTTCTACATACAGAGGAAACCGTACCCTAAGGCCGGATGAAAAACTCCGTCCGTTGCCCACACTCTGAATCCTTCATACTACAGATGCCGGGGCCTGGTTAGCGTCGCCGAGCCTGCCGTAGCTCTCGAATGCAATCGGCTATCCCCGGAAGTCATCAATCACCGTTCCTCCCGTTTCCGCAACCAACAGTTTTTTCGGTCTCCACATCCTAGGTCGGCATACTACTACAGAGCTCACCCTCTGTAGATTTCCGCTTTTGTTAGGCTGGCGATACAACCCTGGGTTTTTCTCAGCGCTCGGTCCCAGCTCCTGGCACTCGGGTTTTTCCGCTCCGAGTTACGCGGTTTTTTCCCGGTTCGTTGATTTGGTCAGGGGGCCCAATCCCCTAACCTCCGAGACGACGGCTATACCTCGGGATTCCTTCCCCGGCTGGCTAGGCCGGACTCTGAACGTCCTCCAGTTTTTAGGAGGGTGAGGGGAGCCGGGTTCGAACCGACGATTTCTGCAGCCATGCAGAAGACTTGCCATGCGCAGCACGTTCCAACTACGCCATCCCCCCTGGAAATTTACATAGAAGTCTTAACAAGTATGTGAGAGATGAGCGGAAGGGGTCGCGAGGCTCAAAGGCACTGCAAGTACCACTCTACACTCTATTCCGTTAATCGAAAGCTGAAGAAAGAGAGGAAAGATACAAGATAGCGCGTTGGCAACGCGAGAAGGCATGCCCAGAACGGAGCTAGTCCGGATACGGAAGTGCACCTCCAACCCCAACCCTGGGTGCGCTTCCCGTCACAACCTAAAGTATGTTTTCCTATTCCCCCTTTTGCAAATCCTTGATGCTGCTTTTCAGTCTGATTGATGTCCACAGGGGGAACCTCTCCTTCTACCTGGGAGGAAAGTCGCCCTCGGATGACAAGGACTGGTCCCCCAACATGCGGGCGGTGCGGGCGACGATACGTTTTGCCATTGCCACAGGTCGTCTGAGGACTGAACAACAACAGAATGAAGCAAACAAACCTCACCATCCTAAACCCCGACTAACACCCCCCTTCATCTCGTGTCACACGGAGTAAGCGCGCTTCAGCCGCCGAAGATAGGACGTTGGACACTTGGAGACTAGCCTTCAAGCCAGCTTACTATTCGTACTACTAACCCACGAGCATCCGCAGCAGAGAGGGCAAAATTGTAAGGAGATAAGCCAGAAAAGGAGGATGTACGGGCTTCATGAGACCAGGATCCATTTTAGGATATGTATTAGTAGATTACATGATAGTTGCCCTTTCGGGTTAGGCCCGCTGGGCGGAATAAATTTTGTGTGTGTGTGTGTGTGTGTGTGTGTGTGTGTGTGTGTGTGTGTGTAGCGACCATCCCCGATTCATAACCCCTGCATCATCAAGCCTGGTTATTCACACGGCGGTGGAAATAATTCGGCGATCACGGCGTTGATCGCTTGCGTATGACAGCCTGGGCAGCGACAGTACTATTTTACAGTTCAGTTGAGGAGCCCCTATCCGTACCAAGTTGCATCAATGGCACAGGTCTCGTACGTCTATGCGCTTACCTTCACTACTCCTGGTAGATTGCTAGCCGTGCCTTCATACTCCACGCATTTGATCATGGCCTCTTTGCTAACAGGCCCTTGCGCATTGAGAGCTACCTGTGCTATACATTGGCTTGAGTTCATAATGTCGTGGCACGCCAGATCAGTGTCGGGGCATTGTTCGAATTCAGTCGCAATAGCCCCGTGAACTCCTAGCCATAAGCCTAGGAAAAGTGAGTCGATACGCATTGTTCTGGGCTGAACACGGTAGGTCGTTGATGTATGATGTATGGCCAACATAAACCGAGGAAAAACGTACGTGTGATATTTTGCTCCGGTTTGACCTGAGTCTTTGCACTCTACTTATACACCCGAGACTCACCCGCACTGCAGGTCCTCATTCGTTAATACTTAGCCGTGTAGGTCGGTGCTACCACCGGGGTCTGGCTGCATCGGCAATGGCAAATTCCTTATCACCGTAGACTTCTCGAACTCCCGCCTTCGGCTTCTTAATCTACTCCAAATATTTAATCTATCCCCTGCCCTATCAGAAGCTCATGGGGTGTACACCGAAACCCCAGAGGTAGCTTCATGCCCGGTATTTCCGGGTAGAGTTTCCCCTTGGGTTTGTCCTGGTCTTCGCCATCTGACACGAGCTCTCCCCTGTTCCGTGACTACTGCAATCTTTCTCGACAGGATCCTTGACACGCAAAAGACATGATGCGACCTTGGTTGCTTACCCTGTTGTTAGCTGCGCAAAGCAGTGCGGTGGTCCGTTTCCACTGCTCTCAGTTGGTGGTTGAAAGGCTCGACCCTCTGGTCAACCCAGGCTCCATCCCCTCGAGCCATGTTCATCAAATCGTCGGCGGGGTTTGTCCCCTTCGCATCCCAAGTCGCAAGGTCTAACTCCGGGGCAACGACACTCTAATAACTTCTCTCTTAGAATGCCTTCAATGCGACAATGGACCCTAGCAGGGACCTACCCGCAGAGTCGAGTTGCACAACCTGTCAGTTCGCCGATGACTTCTCCAACTACTGGACAGCGGTCCTCTACTTTCGGGCACAAAACGGCAGCTACAAACGGGTCCCCCAGCTAGGCAATAACCAGTTCGAGACGGCTCGGGGCGGCCTCACCATCTACTACATGCAAGATGCCATCTACGACCAGGCCCAAAAATCCAAAGTCAAGGCCTTCCAGCCGGTAACTACCTACCTACCTTACCTGACCCAACTCTTTCCTCCCAACCCCCCACTAACCCACCCTACCCCCACAACCCAGGGCTTCCGCATGTTCGTCGGCGACATCAACGCGCGCAACCTCACCGCAGCCAGCCACTTCCGCCAGCTGACCTACGTGTGCATGGACACATGGACAAGCCGGGCCCCAGAAACCATGGCCTTCCCGACGCGCCCCTGCCCCGAGGGCATCATGACCTCGCTGCGCTTCCCGACCTGCTGGGACGGCAAGAACCTCGACAGCCCCGACCACCGCGCCCACATGAGCTACCCGGCGTCGGGCACCTTCGAGAGCGGCGGGCCGTGCCCCGCGACGCATCCCGTGCGCGTCGCGCAGGTCATGTACGAGGTGGTATGGGATACGAAGCGGTTTGAGGGGCTGGAGTGGCCGGCTGATGGGAGGAGCCCGTTCGTGTGGTCGTTTGGGGATGTGACGGGGTACGCGACGCATGGGGATTATGTGTTTGGGTGGAGGGGGGATGCGTTGCAGAGGGTGTTGGATGCGCCGTGTTGGTTTGATACCAATTGTGCGAAGGAGTCGGTAGGTTATTTACGTGGCGTGGTGTCCTGTCTTTGGTGGTGTTTGGGGGTTGGATTGGGAACTAGATTGAAACGGGCGCTGACAATTTGGGGGCCAGAACTCTACGCTGCAGTCGATCGAGGCCATGAACAGCTGCTCGCAAGAGAGGGTCGTTGACGAGGATATTGATGGATGTAAGTGATATTTTCCCAAGGTTACATTCTGTGACGTTTGCTGATGAAATATTCCCCAGGGCTGGACGAGCTTCCGGGGGGGTTCCAGGCAGACCATGGCGATGGTGAGATGTAACGTCTGAACGGCGAGGAAGGGGAAGAGATTGGATGATGACGGTCGGGTTGGTGGCCGGCAGGCTGCCCTTGACCGGGGCGCTGGGGTTGATTTATAAATTGAGAGATTGTCAGAAATTGAACCATGAAAGCACTGGAAACCTTGGATAAAAGGGGTTGCGCGAGCCGTTGTACGTCGCACAACCCTTCTCCACTAAGTCTCAATACTGATCCTCCCCACCCTCGCCCCCTCATTTGCTCAAGCATATGAATTGGTGGCGGCGCCATACGTGAACGGATACGATCCTGGAAGGAAAGATTGTGGGCTAAAGCAAGAAGTACGTGCATGATTGGGGTTGCTGCCACTTGTAACTTGACATTGATATACTATCTGCTCCCAACCCAATATCATATCCTACAGGTCCTGCGTCTTCTGCATTTCGTACATGCACATTACATGCCTTCATAACTCGCTACTCGGCGTCGTCACTACCGGTGCCGGTACGGGAGCCACCTTTGCGGCCTGCCCTCACGAGACACGTTCGACTGCAGAGTTCAAAGCTGCCAGACGAAGCCAGACCAGCCCTGAGAAGCAATATCGCGCTGTGTGGGGTTAGCCAGGAATTGATGGCCAGGACGGAAAGTACCACATGTGGTCATACCTGCTTGTCGGGGTCCATGCTGGCGAAACCGCCCGAGTGGCTAGCTTGGCCGCCCTTGGAGGCGATGTCGCGCACCTCTTCCTTGGGACTGGCGGAGGGGGAGTCAGCAACAGGTATGGCGGGAGGATACTAAGTAGAATAAGAGACGGAAATCTACCGGTTGGCGAAATTGCCGGGATTGGTGTTCTGGGTGCCGGACATGATGAATGTTTGGTGTCTGTTTTGACGAAACCTTTTGGGGTTTATTGAAGGGCTGTAAGTCTGTTCAATTGAGATACGACTGTACGAGGTGTGGTGTGATGTGGATTAAAGATGTTTTAGATTGAAAGGATTGGGCTCTTAAATGCTTTGCGTGACTCTACAAAAACAAATACCCGCTCCATGAGGGCCGTTCGTCATGATGATGTCAATGCACAATGTCGCCATATCTTGGATCCAGCGAAGGCGGGATCGGCCAGTTGATTCGATTGCCCGCTCTGCGATCTTGGACTTTCCATACATGACATCAACATCCTCAAGATCTTCATTCTTCCCCACCCGACGGGGCTTTCCTCCAGGGGGTTGAGAGACTCGATTCCTCCAATCGCTAGATAGGCAAATAGGCATACTCGAGACATGTTCCATCCGGAGCGGTAACTCCGGATCGCCGCTCGGATCCCGGCAGCTCAATTGGTGCCAAGCCGGCCTCTCAATCCGGAAATGAGGGAGCACCGATGCGATATGTTATGACAGCATGAAGGCCGTAACTATTCGCAAGGACGCCAAGGATGCGCCTCGAAGGTGACGTAGGGGCACTCCCAAAACAATCCAGTAATTATTGTTGTGCCAAGAGAGAGCGTCGAGGTAGGTATGTACCTAGCTTAATTTATTCACTCCGCCCCTGAATTGAAATTCCACCGGCGGCTGCGCCGCGCGATAGGGTTGCGGCACGGCGGGTGCCTAGCTCGCATTTCAGGACCGAAGGCACCAAGACAAAGGGCCAGGCGCCCATTTCTGCTTCTCTTTCATAGGCAACAAGGCGCTTGGCGGGTGCATGGTGTTTAGACATGGTCCCCTAGGCGGCCACGGTCAGCTAGGTACCTAGGTAACTTGGCGCAATCCTGGGCAATGTGCGGAGTACAACTCACCTAGTAGCCCAGGTCTTATCATAGGTATCTTCAAGTCCGAGCTCGGGATGGTTTCAACGTTGATCGGATGGCGGTTGTAGGCCGAGTCGACGGCCGCGACGCTGCTCAAACCGCCGACTAGGCACTACAATGGAAGGCTGCTATTACGGACAAACTAAAACACTGGGCTGTTTCGTTACGCTGGAGACAAATAGACGATCGTCCGCCGTGTATTGCTCCCTAATATAAAGCTCCATGTTCCATGAAGACATCCCGGAATCGTAGTAAACACCATCTTTACATCGAGTGGCCAACAACATTCCCCGCAACTTCCTTTACACCACTCTCACATCCTTAGCCCTGCAGAAATGTCCACCGGCAACACCAAAACTACGCCGACTCCTCGGCTGCCGCTTTTCGGCGTCGAAATCGAGCTCTTTGTTAAAGTGAAGCCAAAGGTTGAAGTGCTGACCTGGAAAAAGAGACACGAAAACCCAGCCTCCGTACCGGAGTATTGGCGAAACTGGGATTTCAACCTTAAAAACAACCCGCCGGACCGTGACGCCCAAATCAAAATCATTCATCATCGGAGAGAAGTCGGCAGGGCGATTCAGGCCGACATCGATGCCATGCTCGGCCCCAAAAATGGATGGCATTGCGAACCGGAACCGAGTTTATCAGAGCGAACGCTCACACTGCCCATCGACCCCAGAAAGTGGTGTACGTATGCCCGGCCTCTCCTGTGCGTCTTTACGAGGTGAGCTAATGTGGCATAGGGGGGATCGAGCTTGTCTCACCGCCCATGTCGGTAACCAAGCAATGGCAGCAGGAGATAGAGATGGTTTATAAGGCGGTCTGTAAAAACTTCGACATCTGGACGAGCGACTTCTGCGGCTGCCACGTCCACGTATCGCCTGGACCGGTCAAAAGCAAGGAAAACGACTACTCCGTGCCCAAGCTCGTGAGGATGGCCAAGACTTCATACTTTTGGGAGAAGGCTCTCTGCGAATTCCTCCCGCCGGATCGCCGGGACACCACTTATGCCCGCCCAAACTACAAGTCTTTTGCGACCACGGAATATGAAGAAGTTGAGCGTGCAGGTTGGGGACCACTATTTGACAAGCTGGATGAGCTGGCGGCCGGCCGAAGGGGTCAGTCCAACTTTCTCCAGGAGATCCAGGGCGGCCTTGTTCATGGGGACCGGTATACCTCCTTTAACTTTGAGGCATTCATGGATATTGGGACGGTTGAATTCCGCCGCCAAGCGGGGGTTCTCTCGCCTATCACTACCGCCCATCGCATTCTTCTCGCCGTGGGCCTTCATTTAAGCGCCATGAGATATGATTTCGACGGGGCTAAGACCCGGATGACGCACCCGACCGCCGAAGAACTGCGCAAGGAGCTCGCCGGCTGCATCAAGAAGCTCCCCGAAACCTGCCACGGCACTCGATTCCTCAACTTCCTCACCTGGTGTCAGGAAAGCTACAAGGGCGGCAAACGTTACACAGAGGAGCAGATCAACGCGCGCGAGGAGGCCTTGCGCAAGGGACGCCCCCCGCCGGAGCAACGCTCCGCCGTCCCGCCGCCACCCCCGGCCGAGAACTCCCAGGGAACCACCGCCAGTCAGCCCGGAGGTCGCACAACGGCCACCAGCAGCTCTGCCGCCGCCCAACCCACCCAGGCATCCTCGGCGGGACGCGGCGGGGCCCGTGACACCGCCCCGCCCGGCCGCCAGACACCGGCCGCTGGCCGTGGCGGTCCCACGGCGGGCAGGGGCGGCGCTACCCAAGGAACAGCCGGACGTGGCGCTCCCCAAGGGACAGCCGGCCGCGGCGCTCCCGCCTCCACCACCACCCCGCGCGCCTCCACCTCCACAGGCACGGGCACGGCCAGAACCGCCGCTCCGCAGGGCACATCCACCCCCGCCCGCACCTCCACCACCAACCAAGCCACGGGCACGGGCACGGGCACGGGAGCCGCACGCCCCCGGGCCTCGGGCAACAATGCGTCGTCCGCGTCCAACTCAAACGGGACCGCGCCCCGGC